AGAAATTAATCGGCCAACTAAAAATATATAGAAAAAATTAGCCGGGCATGGTGGCGCATGCCTGTAGTCCCAGCTACTCGGGAGGCTGGGGCAATAGGATCACTTGAGCCCAGGAGTGTGAGGTTGCTTTGAGCTAGGCTGACGCCACGGCACTCACTCTAGCCAAGGCAACAGAGTGAGACTCTGTCTCAAAAAAAAAAAAAAAAATTAAGGTATGTACTATCGCATACTTAATAGACTACAGTATAGTGTATGCATAACTTTTATATGCACTAGGCAACCAAAAAATTTGTGTGACTCGCTCTAGTGTGGTGGTCTAGAACTGAACCCACAGGAACTGAACTCCAAGATATACCTGTACAGTGGGAAGGCATTAGAGGATTTTAATTGCAAGAGTGATATGAATTAATCTATGTTTTAAAAACGTATTTGGGCTGCTGGAAGCAGGGAAGCAAGTTAGCAGACCATAACAATAGTTCACTCCAGAGCTGACGGTGGCTTGGATTAAGGTGGCTTCGAAGGTGGTGAGATGTGGAAGTTAATTGACGGGACTGGCAGGTAAAGTACACATGAGGAGTGGGGAAGGGAGGACGCGGCATTCCAGGATGACTGCTCAGGTTCTGTCCTGAGTAAGTGGACAAATGATGGACTGCAAGACTGGTTTACCTTCCATAACATGGGGTACTGCAGGGATGGCAGAGGAGTAGATTTTTAGTCAGAAGGGATTTGGGACATGTTAAGTTTGAGGTCACTATAAGACATCAAAATTTAGAGCCCATTTAGCCAAAACTCTTTCATTTTTCAGGTGTATTACTCTCTTTTGTCTTTGCTACAACTTTTTTTTCTCTTTTCACATCTAAACTTTGGAAAATCAGAGTCTTTGTACCTTACGGTTGGGATATAAGACTCTTCTGTAAGATGAACAGTAAATATGGGGCCATTAAAATACAGTGTTGTGAATTTGCTGGCTTCAGCGAGAGTGCTTATCCCATTTTCCAACTTTCCTACCAGCTTGTATTACAGAATTCAGAAAAATTCTGAGCTTCATCCATCTCGTGCTAACTTGGCCTCAACATAAAGGACGAATGAACATGAAAGCTCTCCCTTGGCGAGAGTTTAAAATTATTTTTTGAGAGGTTCTACCTCATATACGTACCTTCGATGTATTAAGGTCACTGTTATTTACACTATCTCCTCTTGTAATCTTGTTCCTTTGAATTAGTGGGTGGTAAAAGACAAAGACAATGTTATGAGGTCACATTCAGAATAGACAGGGAAAGAAAATAAAAGTAGGTGCAGAAAATTAAATTTTACAAGTTTTAATGATCTTTTCTGCTTCCTTCCTAAAGGCTAACCAACACAGTTTTATGTATTATAACGCTGGCAAATGTAAAATTTCCTAACTTTGGTTTCTTTTATGTCAGTTATCTATTGCTGCACAATAAATTACTCCCAAACCAGAAGTTTAAAACAACGGCCATTTATCTCACGTGGTTTCTGAGGATAGGAATCCAGGAGTGGCTTAGCTGGGTGGTCCTGGTCCAGAGTCTCTCATGAGCCAGGGCTGCAGTCAGCTGAAGGTTTGACTGAGGCTGGAAAGTCCTCTTCTCAGACGGCTCGTTCACATGGAGATTGTCAGAGACCTCATGTCCTCAGTGGCTGTTGGCAGGAGGCCCAAGTTTTTTTTCTTGCCACGTGGGCCTCTCAGCACGGCTGCCTGAGTGTGCTCCTGACGTGGCAGTGTGTTTCCCCAGGGTGAGAGCATGAGAGAGAGGCAGGACAGAGGGAGTGGGGGTGTTCTGTTATTGACGCTAGCATTTTCTTCCAAGCTCTTGTCGAAAGTTTCGAAGTTTTGATATTGGTAGTTATTCCTCAACTGAGAAACGTTTTTATCATAGGTATCAAATTTATATCCTGCTGCTCTGTTTCTGTGACTTTCTGCTTCCAGAGTAATTTTCATTTCAGTGCGAAATCATGATAATTTAAAGACACTTTCAATGGCATTGTGTTAGTCTGTTTCATGCTGCTGTAACGGAATACCACAGACTGGGTAAATTTATGAGGAAGAAATATTTATTTCTCAGAGTTCTGGAGCCTGGAAAGTCCAAGATCAAGGCACTGGTATCTGATAAGGGCCTTCTTGCTGCGTGCTCACATGGCACAAAGTAGAAGGGCAAGCAGGGACCAATATTATGTCCTCACGTGGCAGAAGAGCAGAAGAGAGTAAACCCAAGCCTTTTCCATAGGGGCGTTAATCCGTTCATGAGGGTAAAACCCGCATAACCCAATCACCTCCTGTAGGCCCCACTTCCCAATACTTTTTGCATTGAGAATTAAGTTTCCAACACATGAATTTGGGGGACACATTCAAGACTACAGCAGGCATTTCAACTTAACACTTGTATTACTAATAGTGCACCTAACTCAACTGAAGTGCCAGCCATATGAGCATTTACACCAAGTATTTGCATGAACTGACAATGAGAACCACGCTCTGACTGCTGACTGCAGGCATCTATTATAAGGTGCATCCTGATTTCAGAATGTTAGAATGTGGGGGGAAAAAATGTTTCTAAGAATTGAAGAAATATGGCAAATAATTTTCTCACCTAATCATGGGGAAGTACAGGAGATCAGAGTCCCCTGGGTAAGTTTCTTTCCTCATGGTTTTACAAAGCCTGGGGAAGGAGATGTGAATGGGTGATTTATAACAGATAAATATGTAGGTTATTTCCAAACTATTTCATTTTTTGTTTTCAGATACGGAAACAAGGAAAATCCCTCTTCTGTTATTTTTATTTATTAATTTTTTTTTTCAGGAATAAAGATCATTGTAAACCCAGAATCAAAGGCAGTCTTGGCTGGACAGTTTGTGAAACTGTGTTGCCGGGCAACTGGACATCCTTTTGTGCAATATCAGTGGTTCAAAATGAATAAAGAGGTATTTTTTAATGTCTTTTAATTCTTCTGTAATAAGAAGAGAGAATGATAGGAAATTAACATTATTGTCCTAAATGTGGTTTTAAGACTTTGGTTTAAGAGTCTGATAGACAGTGCTAGGTTATTACTAAAGTATTCAATAATGATTATTTTGGTAAGACAATTCCAAAATTGTCTCACCAAAAACTTATAAACAGTAATGAATTCTGTTCTCCACTCTAAAAATTGTGGAAAGTAGGGATTACATAGGGCAATAACATTAGCAAGTATGAAACCTCACCGGCACATTCTTACGTATCTATACAAAACTCTTTGCAACAGATATGTTCCAACCAAAATCTTTAAAAGACTTTCAAGGCTACATGGAAAGTTAATGCCTTATTTTCTTAAGAATTCCACATAACTGTATTCTATCAAAAGATTTAGGACATTGTGTAGATTCTGAAGTAAAATTCAGGTTGGCAGAGTGGGGCATTTGTTCCTTTTGTGGAAGGATTGTATCCCTGCACCACTCAACAGATAATCTACAATCAAATATTAGAATTCTCTTTTCCTCAGAGTTCTTCAAACCACCTGCCATTGGGGGGTTCTCAGTGGTCTGGCTGCCCCGTGTTGAGTCTCACTTTTGTGGGCTTTTCCCTTCCTCTCCCTTCACCCTCTGCTCTCCTCAGTTACACCTGAAAAGTTCGTATTTAGTCACAACCTCAGTCACAGTAATTCAGCTTCCTTCCAAACTTGGTGCCAAGTCTCCATTTGCAAATCTAAAACTAAATAAAAGAGCTGTTCTCAGATTACAAGTTTTCCTTTAATTGGATCACCTCATGCCATAAAAGATTTTGTGGTATTATACAATTTTTTATTTCTGTCTCTTACGCAGAGGTAAGGTGAAAGAACTGTGGAATATAGTAAAAAGACTGCATGTAGGCTTTGGCACCAGAGAGGTCTGTGTTGGAACCCTGACTAGGCTTGTTAGCCATGTGAATTCCTATCATAGGGGATTGTGAGAATTAAGTAGACAGGATGTTTTATGTGCCTAGGCTCTTGAGAGATGGTAGCTAAAGGTATTTTTACCATATTTTCTTAATTGCAAAATTGCTTTCATTTTAATGAATGACTTTTGAAGGTGAAATAATGAGGGAAAACCTGCTACATTTATGTGTATTGTTTGTAAAATATGTCCTGATTGAGAAAGGTAGAAATGTGGGGGGTGGGGAGTGCATCTTAGATTGGAAGAGTTGTAATGGATTTAAAAACTCTTAACAAGTCAAGTTTTGTCAAACCACTGTCATGTTTATAGGATGTTGATAGGTCTATTTTAGGAGATTTTCATTTAACAAGTGTTTGTTGAGTGCCTGTTGTGAGCCAGGCCGTGTTCTAAGGCATGACAGTGCAGCAGTGACCCCCAGGTCTCAGCACCTCTCAGTACCTGCACCAGAGCAGGAGCGTCGCACTCCGGTGGGGAGACAGACAGTAAGCAAATATAGTCAGTTCTGTGAGTGGAGAGGTAGGAGGAAAACCAACAGGGTGGTGATATAAGGTGAGAAGCCACTAAAGGTTTTAAGCAAGGGAAGTAAGGCAATAATAGGATTTATGTTTTTAAAACACAAACTTGCTGCTTGAAAGAAGCAGAAAACAGCAAGAAGCCCAGCTGTCTAATGCCTGTGCTCGACTAGAAATAACAGTCGTGTGGGCTAGGGTATAGCAGTGCGGGTGGATCACAGTGCGCGATTCAATGTGTATTTTAGAAACCTGTTTAACCCAACTGGCAGACTAAATGTGAGCATGAGGAGAAAGGAAGAGAAATCAAGATGACCCTTAGGTTTTTCACTTGAGCATCAGGGACGTGTCAAAGATTGAAGAGGACCAGGTTTAGGAAAAAAATTCAAGAGTTTGACTTTAGACATGTTAAATTTGAAGTGCCTAATACACATCCAGATGAGTCAGCTGGGCAGTTTGGGTGTCTGGGGAGGCAGCATTGAGAGCTATGTAGGAGCAGGAACCAGCAAAGAGATACTAAGAGGAATCTGCCAGAGAGATAGGAGGAAAGCCAAGAGAGGACGGTGTGGAAGTCTAGAGAGGAAAGTGTTTCAAGAAGAAAGAGGTGGCCAGCTTCTTCAGTGCTGCTCAGGTGGGTGTGGGGTCAGGAGAAGCTTGCTTGGTGTTTTGGTTTATTTAAGATAGAAGGTACCAGAGTATGTTTTTGAGAGTAATACGGTAAAAGGGGGAATTAGATGCTAAAGCAAAGAGAGAAAAAATTGCAGGAACGAGGTCAAGAGAAGATGGAATTTAGGGGGAGGAAAAACTTTACCTTCTTAGGTTCAGTACCTGGGAGCCCGTGAATTAACTGAACTTATATGCATATAGGAGCTTACAAAAGAAATAGTTGGCTAAATGGCTAAGTTATAACTTAGTAGGGAAAAGGCAGGCGTTGGGGAGCCTCTGTGGGAAGAATAAATAGGTTTCTTCTGGAAAGACAAAGGGGTTTCTAGAAGAGCAAGAGGAAATAGGAAAGTTTGTGATAATGTTTGTTTGTGCAAGTGCCAGTGGTCTTTCCCCTTCTTTGTGGCCATAAACTACCCAAAGGGGATTTGTGGTAGTTTTCCTCTTGGTCTCCTTTCTGGAAGTAAAAGCTGTCCCAAGAGGGAATTTATGGCAGCCTCATTTCCCAGAACTTTCTGCTTTTAGTCAGATAAGGAGAGCCTGAGAAGGCTTCTTTCTGCCTGTGTTGAATCCCACATGTCTTCAGTTTAATGTAATCTTCATACCAACACTGGGTATCTGAGTGGATCCCCATAGACCTTTAGCTCACGTAGCCTTTATTAGGAAAATGCATCTTCCATTTTTACCGGAGGGATAAGTCTGTGATTTAGTGGCTGGAAAAAGATAATTTTTGTCTGAAGTCAATGCCTGAGAGAAGTAGGATTGTTGGAGGTTTGAGGAGGCAGAGCGAGTATACATTAATCGGCTAGTAGGAGAGCAGACTCAGCAGGATAACATAGGATTGTCAAGCAGTGCTAAATGCAGCCATCAGCCCAGCTGTCACGCCTTTAGCGGAGTGCTCCTGGCCTGGTGCAGTTACTGAGAGGAGAGCGTTGATTTCAGCTGGTTGGGGATTGGAGAGGAAGAGGGGTGAGCTTATTGAAGTACAGGTTGAATATCCTTATCTGAAATGCCTGGGACCAGGAGTGTTTTAGATTTCAGATTTCTTCAGATGTTGGAATATTGCGTTATGTATTTACTGGTGTACCATCCCAAATCTGAAAATCCAAAATGCTCCAATGAGCATTTGCTTTGAGTGTCATGTCGATGTGCAAAAAGCTTCAAATTTGGGAGCATTTCAGATTTTGGGTTTTTGGATTTGTGATGCTCAACCTGTCCTTTGCAAGGGAGTTATTGTAATATGATGAGGCACTTGGGTAAGCCCTTAGCAATGTGCCAAAGTTGGTGTAGCTGATACATTGCTGTGAACAGAAAAAGTGAAAGAAAACTTATTGGGGTGATGGAGCCCGGGGAAGAGTTTGGGAACCCGTGGGTGGCTGCTCCCCTCAACACTGATAGCTTTCCATAGCCCTTCTCAGCCCAGACCTTGAAAGAGAGTGGATATTGTTTGGTTGAGGAGTCTATCCTCTTAGAGAATGTTGCAGATCAGAAAGTGAAATCTCAAAGTGAACTAACTTGTCTGTGAATTCACAGCTAATTTGGTCAGAGCTGAAAATCATAGTCATGTCTAACTCCGTGTTCTCTTCACACCACTGTGGTGTTTGTCCTGTTGTATGGCTACTTAACTCATAAATGTTGTGGTTATAGATCTTTTCAGCACTCGGTGATTGAACTGTTTTACATGACAGATGATTTTCTGTTAGCTTTTGGAAGATGTATGGGGACAACTTAACTCTACTTAATGGATTTATAAAAGACTGTGGATTTTTAGTACTTTAGTCCTAAATAACTCACAAATGTTATTGTTTCTTTTTTAACTCAAAAATATTTTAGAACTTGGTGGGGGTGGGGGGAAACAAGACATACTTTCAAGTCTACATACTGAAATCATAGATTTTCCACAGTATATTTTATAAGACATGTTTTTGATGAGTCATTCACTTATTCTCTTATTGATTCTTTCACAGATTCCATATGGAAATACATCAGAACTTATTTTTAACACGGTGCATGTAAAAGATGCAGGCTTTTATGTCTGTCGAGTTAATAATAATTTCACCTTTGAATTCAGCAAGTGGTCACAGCTGGATGTTTGCGATGTCACAGACGTAACAGAAAGCTTCCGGGGTAAGTGATAAAAGAAGTTGAATGTTGGGACGAGGATTGCCTTATTTTATTTTAAATGTTTACTTTTAAATAATTTCAGAGTACCAGAAATAGTGCCAGAAGCTCACAAATGTGCTTCATCCAATATAATGTCAACAGTTGTTAAGATTTGATTCCACGTGCTTTGTCTTTCTCTATGTGTGCACATACACACACACATGTGTGTGCAGATCCCTCAGGATGACATAGGCCCTCCTCAGTCTGTTTCCTGTGGCTGACCTCTTCAAACTTGCCTTCCCGTGTGGCCCATTATCTACCCTCACGCGTGGCACCTGTATGTACTCAAGCTTCGCTTCTCCCTGCCACTCCCATTGCCTTGAATATGCCTTGCTTATTCACAACTCACGTCTTTGCATCAGTTCATCTTCCATCTTGAATCCCTCTTCTGCTGGCATACTCGTATGATTCTTTCAAGCCTTGGCTTCCTCTTCTGCTCCCTTGGCATTCTGATTTTACCTCTAGTATTATAGAACTTGTTGCATTACTTTTAAAATTATTTGTTTGCCTAGCTGTGTAGGGTAAGGAGTAGCTCATAGTTCCCTTTTCTCTTTCTAGTCCTTAGAACAAAGCCTGGCCGGTGGTGGTCACTCATCAGTTACACAAGTCACTGAACACCTTCATGAGGCACAGTCTTGGGCGTAGGTGTTAAAGCTGTTCTAAACTAAGCATTAGAGAGAGTCCCTGACCCAAATTACTTACAGAGTGATCAGGAAGGAAAGATTACCTGGTGCAGTAGGAAGCAGAAAGACTTCCTCAGAACCTTCTTTGCTACCTCTCTCTTCCTCCCAAAAGTTAATCTTTTGAACATACTTCTATCTTTCAGTTGTTATCGTCCTGCCTATCTGCCTGTTAGACTAAGCTCCTGAGGGGAAAGTCTGGGTCTTAACAACGTTTGATGAATCCAAACACTTAAACAATAGGCACTCAATAGATGTTTGTCAGCAGAATGAAAAACCAGGATAAATTCTGTTTCACAAGGCAGAGATGGATGTATTTCCATCAAGAGCATTTAATATTTTCACATTTAAAGCACATATTCAGGGCTATCTAAAAATCTCCAAAGGGTTCATTGTAGCCAAAACTTATTTTTCCTTATTTAAGAAACAGATTGTGAAACTAACATCATGGAAAAATGCTACTTCTTGAAGTTACTCATGAGCGCTGAATACTATCATTGTAAAGAGTAGGTTAGAGAAACAAAAAGCATATGAGACCTCATAGTCTTGAGTTCTGTGATTAGGGTATGAGTCCAGCAGAGGTCAGTTTGTTGTGGATTTGAATGTTGTAGTCTCTGGTTTGGGAGGAGAAAAAACTCTTATCTAACATAGTCTTGCTGCTCACTTTTCAGTTCATTTCTATAATGTCTGTTTTTTTCCCCAAACTATTGTATTGCTCCTAAAAATTTCTGTTGTGGAAAAACTCTAGAGTCGATGTCAGCACTAGAGGCCACGTAGTATGTCATTCACTGCAACAAAGCATTCATCATTCATCTACTCATCGTGCTCCATCTTTTCAGTCCTGTAACTAGTATCGATCAAGATAAAAAGCCAGTCGACTCTTAAGTAGCCATCAGATATATTTTGTTTATTCACATGCACACCCAAGACCATATTCTTTATTGCGTTTGCTAGACAGAATAGAGAGGGAAACAGACTTTTTGTTAAAAGAAAGTCTTTCTTCCATTCTTCTCTCTCACTTTAGCTTTTCCTAAACTCAAATAAATAATGTCAGAGTTGTTGAGAATAAAAGAATATCACCATTTTCTTTAAAGAAAAAGTACCTCATGTACCTCTGTCAATTTTAATTTTTTTATCCTATTTTTATTGAGTTATAATTTACATACAGTACAATATACAGATCCTAAGTGTACAATCCAGTGAGTTTTAACAAATACGCATTTGTTTAACCCACACCCCTATCAAAATGTAGAACATGTTCATTAGCTGAGCGAGTTCTCTTGCACCCTTTCCCAGGCAATGCCTGCCCTTCTCACCTGTAGTCACTCTTCTGATTTCTTTCACCACAAATAGATTTTAGTTTTCTTTGTTTTAGAACTTCAGATAAATAGAGTCATGTACATTGTATTTTTATATCCAACTTCTTCCACTCAGCATAATTTTTAAGATTTATTCATGTTGCTAGGTGTATCAGCAGTTAGTCTTCTCTTTTGCTGAGTAATCATCCATTATATGAATAGGTTAGTTTGTTTATCCATTCTCTTATTAATAAACATTTAGTTTGTGTTCAGTTTGGGAATATTATGGATAAAGCTGCTATGAATATTCTCTTACAAGCCTTTTTCTGGACATACGTTTTTATTTCTCCTGGATAATTACCTGGAAGTGGAATTGCTGAGTCACAGAGTAGACGTATGTTTAATTTTCTTTAAAAACTGCCAAATATAATAGTTTCCAAAATAGTCTTACCATTTTGCATAACCACCTGCATCCTGGAAAAACCTCCATCCCAGGCTGCCTGAGGTCACTGGTCACACTAATGCCAGCTCACACTCTGCCCTTAAAAATGTGTAAAACATTCAGCTGGCTTACTCTTCCTCATCCATTCAGTTCCAAAAGTGGGCCCAAGCAGGGCGGACATTTGGGTAGGGGTTGGGGGCTGTCTGTGATGGCCCAGAGCAGGATATCAAAGCTCAGGTTAGGTGCCTGTGTGAGAGTGGGACTTAGTCTCTAGACTAATCTGTATCTTTCTAGACTATTTCTGTGCATGTAATAAACTTTAATACATTTATAAGTAGAATCATATCCAACAAATATTGAT